CCAGCTCCAAGGGGTGATGTGAAACTGAGCGGTGGCAAGTCAAATATCTCCCGGCTATTCCATAAATCCGGAGTGAAATGCGATGAGAATAATGCAAACGTCTTTGCTAGGGCAGGCGGGAGCCGGGGACTCTTGGAAGCGTCTCTGGCTGTAAAAAGTTGCTTCCCAACTCTGCAAAGATTTAGTTCCCGGGCTGAGCCGCGATACGGGAGCGAGTGGGGAAACAAACTCCAGGGACGTTTCCAACTGCACATTCACAGCCTGACCTTTTCCCGGGCTCTCAGCACTATAAAATCGCACGTAAATTAGCGGGCACGTTTGGCAGGCGGCAAAGGGAGCTGGTTCAGGCGGAGAGCCGCAGTGTGAGAGCCCTCGCACTGACACGTCCTTCCAGCCCCAACCCCTTCGCGTCTTCATTTTCGGAGCAAGAGTAGGAGCAAATATTTTATTTTCGGAGCCACTAGCACAGCCTGCACGAAGAGGGATTTTTGTTTTGTTTTGTTTCTCCCCGAAGCGTAAGCATATAATAAAGTAGTTGAAGAGGCTCGGTTTTGTTTTCTGAAATCCACTGTAATTCTCTGCACCAGCCTCGGCCGAGGGACTTCTCTGTCTCACGCTGGACACTGGGAGCCCTTCGTGAGACAGAACCTGTCTGAGACCAGAAATTTCACCGCTTCGTTGAGTATTTTTTTTAATATATATATATATCCGAGCCTTTTCTCCTTTTTTTTTTCCCCCTCCTCGTCTTCTCTCCCCCTCCCCATGTTGTTGAAGCCCGAGAGAGCGGGGATTTAATTGAACCCGGAGGTCAGGAACTCTCCTGCTCACATCCCGTGGTCTTAATAAAACATCGAGGTGCCTGTCTCCCCGGCGTGCTTACTAAACCCCGAATTTATAAAGTTTACTTAGTTATTCAAAAAGATTAAATATCACCTTTTTTGATGGAAGGGGAAGGCTCTACCTTACTGACCTATTTTTCATTTCCGATTTAGGAAAAAAAAAAAGGCAGGATTAGCATGAATATTGCATTTCCAAGGACCTCGCCGCTATTAAATAGACTGTTAAGTGCATTTTATGGCTGAAGAGCCTGTTCCCTGTTCGGTCGGGGGGACGCGCTAAGTTCATCTCTAGCTGCTACATTGAACATTCACTGCTTAAAATACTTCCTGTGCATGTAATGCCCATGCTCTGCGTCTCTTAAGTACATAACGCTTAATATTTTAGGGCGAGGAAAGCGTAATTCAGGGGAATCTCGGCAGCGACACCGTTGTCGCTCGAGGAAACGGCCGCGCAAACGGCTGCGCTCGCCCAGCCCGGGCGTTTGTCGGCGGGAAACGCTTCACAAACGCGGCCCTTTCCCGGCGAGCTCGGAGAGAGGCAGATCCCGTCTCGGAGCGGCTGGAAAAGGGGCCCCCGGCCCGGAGCTGCTCGGCCCTGCCCCAGGACAGCAGCAGCAGTGACCAGGGCCGGGGGGACGGCGGGGGGGTCCAGGCCGCCCTCATTCCCCCGGTGCGGAGGATCCAGTTACTTTTAATACACCCGGGAGACCAAACATGACACGTCTGATACTAATAGGCATCTGTCACCAGCGCTGTCAAGTTTTGCCATATGCGCCGGCCTCTTGGTGGAAGTAAAAAGAAAAGAGAGAGGAAAAAAAAGAAAAAGAAAAAAGAAAGAAAGAAAATAAGAAAATAAGGCATATAACTTCAATTAAGAATTTTAATTATAAATACAAAAAGCAAATCAAAATAAACTTCTTATAAACATGATCTGTGAAGAAGTTTTATCCTAAAAATAAACAGCGAGACCGAGGCCGGGCCCGAGCCCGGGGCGGCCGCCCTCGCAGGGTCCGGGTCCCGCTGCGGCCTCACTGCTATGCGCGCAAAAATGAGGGGTAATTTTATAAGCAACAAAAGCCCGGCGCAGGAATGAGGCCCGGCTCTCCGGTGTCGCTGGGAAGCACCGGATCAGCAGCTTCCCGAGCCCGGCCGCGCACTCGAGAGGAGCCTCTGCCCCTTTTCCCATGGGGATCGGTTAAAAATAGCGGCGGCCCCGCGCGCGTTGCGCGGCGCGGGCTCCATTTGCTGCTTGTGCAAAACCGATTAGCCGGACACAAGTGGGGAGCGACCCGCGACGTTTATAGCCGCCGAGCACGAACGGATTTAGACCCGTCGAGTTTTTCCTTGCGAAGAGAGATTAAGAGGGTGCCCATGTAGGGCCCGGCCGCGGCGCCCGGGACACCCAATCGCTCCCCGCTTAAGATGACAGTTTTTCCTTTTCGTGTCAGATGATTAGCGAGTCCTTATTTATCAAGTTCAAGCAAGCTCATCGCCGGGCTGCTTGTTTTATTTTAGAATACACGTATGCCGAGGTATAAATATTTACTTTGGAAGAAATAATATTTACTGCTTTTGGAAAGCAAGTACCCTTCCCCCCCCCCCCCCCCCTTTTTCCCCCCTCTTTTTTTTTCCTATTGTTTTTAAATGCATATCTCTGCGGATATAATACCTGAAATAAGTGACATATTCTGCACTTTCGGGAAGGAAAAGAAAAAAAAAGAAAGAAAAAAAAGATAAAAGATGCCCGCTTGGTCTCGCATGCATTTTATGCAACCGATTTTTTTTTTATGCGACCGATTTTTGTTAACAAAGCTGGCGTGTTCCCGGGCGCAACCGCGGCATCCGCGCCGGTTCTCGGAGGCGACACAAATTAAACGTTTCGGGAAAAAATGAGAACGGAAAATTGCCAGTGCGACACTAAAGGACAGATTTCCCAATATCTCGCCTTCGTTTTGCCGAACTATAGTAAAAAAAAAATCGGTGTTTTAGACACTGTAAGGCGCTGCAGCGAAATACTTTCCTTTTGGAGTCGTGGCCCCGAAAATGCTGGGAATCCTCCCTTTTGGCGGCTCGCCGGGCCCGCGGCGGGACGGAGCGCGCCGTTCCCTCTCGTTTTGCTCCGGCCACCAACGAAAAATCCGCGCTCCGACCCCGCATGAGGCGCCGCTTCCAATTCGCCTGCAAAATAAAATTAGTGCCGTCGTTTGGGTGGCCCACGGGGGGTTTATTTAAAACCGTTTCCCTTAGAAAGAGCGGAGAAAACTGCCTTGGAAGTGCCGATATTCCGGCTGGGAAGCGGCCACCGAGATGGCGCATTGCTGAACGTTAATATAGAAACCTGAAGTCAGTTTTGGAAAAAAAAAAAAAGAGAGAGAGAGAGAGGAAAAGGGGGGAAATAAAAGAGTACATTTGAGGGAATATTACTCCCCGTTTTAGCGCTGTCTCAAGGCTCCCGGTGGGAGCCAAGGTTAATTTTAAGCCGCCGACCCGATACCGCGGTGGCCCGAGCCCAGTGAACTGCAGAGATTTCTCCGCCCGCTTCCCGGCAAAGCTCCGCGCCGGAGCTGGGACCCCCAAAACACCCAAACGGGGAGAAAGAGGCGCTGGGGGCGGCGAGGAGATCCCACGGTTCCCCCGGCCCCTCGCTACGCGCCGGGCAGACACACACGGAGCAGAGCGGTTTAAAAATTTATTTACAAAGTTGTGTACAACACGAAGGGATAACATTTAGAATACATATATTCATTCATATATAAACAGACTTCTATAATAGAATGACAGGGTTTTCGCCTTTTTTTTTGCATTTTCTCCAAAATTCTTTTTTTTTTAATTTCCCCCACCCTCTCTCCTGTTTGCTCGTTTGATATTTAAAATCTCCCCCTCTTTTTTTTCCTCCCGATACCACCATCCGTTTAAACCTGCTCGCTCGTTTCGCACGAAGCAGCCGGGAGCGTCGGAACCTTCAAAAAAAGCGAAAGTTCGTAGCCCCCTAAACCCCTAACCGTGATGCGGCCTCATCATTATTAATTATTATCATTAATTATTTTTTCCTTACAAAAATAAAAACCCCCGAAAGCGACGTCAGCGGTTTCCCATACAAATATGTACAAGGGCCGGCGTTGGTGCCCGGCGTTACCTGTGCCGCTCGGCTCCGCGGCGCCGTCGGGGGGGCGGCCGGGCCGGGGCAGGCCG